AACTACCAATATTTCGATATCAGTGCTATTTTAGACCTTGGTTGGAATGCAGTGAGTTTGGGCCTTTTGGCCTTCGGCCTTAATTGTGAATATTTGGGCCTTCAAATCTTGTTGGTCCAACTGAAAATGGACATTGTTTTGTATGAAATGACTATCTTTTCTTGACGAACGGAATAAAATTTCATCATACAACTAATTAGTTACCGATGAAGTAACAAGAACTCACACGCTAGATCTTTAATCAACCGAATCAGCATTTTTGAAATATAGATTCATTGTATATTTGTACTGCATGTTGTGTTATTAATCGCTAGTTAGAACCACACCCAACTCCTCTTCCTCCTCGTTCTTCACCGAAAACTTAGCCAATCCGCACTATTACAACTGATTAATTGATACCAGTGTTGAATCTGGGTGGTATGGAAATTCGAAAAACGATGTTGTCAGTATGATTATTGATTTAAGCTTTGTTGTTAGTTACCCAAGTAAGGATCCTTGCCGGATCCTCTTTGTGAGGATCCCGAAAATCCTCTAATCACATATGTTCATTGTACATCGTGCGATCTGTTTTTGTCAAGTATTATTTATATTCAATTTTAAATAAAAAAATTTATAATAACTTTTGACCGCACGATGTACGATGAACGGATGTGAATTCAACGAGGATCCTCCAGTAGTTGCCCTACCATACCCGACCCTACATCAAAGCATGTGACCCTTCTAAAATGTCCGAGAATCATGTTGAATTTCTTGATTGATTATAAGCTTTCTTTGCTTTACTAAATGAAGTTTTGATTCGATGATTGCTCTAGGGGTAGAAGGGGTGCAAATTTGTGTGTTGATGCATCAGGAGTTGTTAAACTTGCCAATTTTGGGATTGTGAAGCATGTGAGTAATTAATTCTGCAAACGCTTATCATGTTTAACATTTGTAAATAGGCTAAATAGCCAAAATGATCCTTGAGATTTGCATAACTCTTCACTTTGGTCCCTAACAGTTCAAATCGATAAAAGTGGTCCCTGAGATTGTCCACCATCCATTATTTTGGTTATTCCGTTAAAAACTCCGTTAAGTGTCCTGGAGCTCTTGGCCAGAAGTTTGGGCAATTTTCAAAGCTTCATAACTCAATCATTTCTTAACCAAATTCGACCCATAATATATCAAAATGAAGATAACAAAGTGTAAAATAAGATTATACCTATTTGGAAGCCCAATGGCTGCCGGAGATAGCCGGAAATTAGCCTCAAAGTTGACTGGTCCGAAGGAAAACTTAACGGAAACTGGGTAAACTTTAAACGTTCATAACTTCTTCAATACTCAACGAAATCAAGTGATTCAAAAACAAAAATCATACTTCTCAATGAGATGAAGATAATGATACATTTTTTGATGACTAACTATTAGTGTTTTGGCCGAAAAACGGCTCGAAATTGGCTGCCTTGGTCTCGAGTTAGCCACTTTCGAGCCATTTTTGGCCAAACCAAAAAGATTTAGCTGTCTAAAAGGGTACCATTCTCTTTGTCTCATCGATAAGTATGATTTTCGTTTTTGAATCACTTGGTTTCGTTGAATTTTAAAGTTTACCCAGTTACGGGCGAGTTTTCCAGTTTTCCCTTTGACCAGTCAACTTTGAGGGTTTTTCCGGCCATCTCCGGCGAGTTTTCACAGTGTCCCATATGTGACGGTTTATTTTTAGCTACACTTCTTAGAATTCAATCTTAATCTCACTTTGCTTCCTGTAACTCAAAATTTGTCATTTTACTTCCTGAAACTCAAAATTCGCTTCATTTTGCTCTCTGGAACTCGATTTTGATCCCAGCTTGCCCTCTGAAACTTGAAATTCGTCTCTATAAAACTCAAAATTCGCTCCACATTGCCTTAGATATGTTAGTATTTGATTTGTGTGAGTGTGGCTAATCAATTTCTTTTAAATTTAATATCTCTGATTGTTGAATGTTGAGTGTAATAGAGATTTATAATCAACTTAATCTTATTGGATGTTGGGTCCCATATACGTTTTAGGAGGTGATCTATAAGTTTTGGAAAAAAAAGAGTCCACAAGTCAAAGTGGAACGAATTTTGAGTTTTAGCGAAAAAAAAAGTCTACAAGTCAAAGTGGAATGAATTTTGAATTTCAGGGAGTAAAGTGGTGACTTTTACACTATGTTTGCATGAAGCAATTTAAGATTACTACGAAATTTTAAAATGGCGGAAATTGAAATGACGGGATTTTATTTTCTAAAATTTGTGAATTTTCTTGTTTAGTTAACCTAAAAGAACAATAAATTCGGAATATGTTATTTTTAAACTCTCAATCATAGAAATTGGGAAATAACACCTATTTACATGGAATTTAAACTTGGGAATTGGAGGTCCCAAATTCCAAGTTGTTTTTCTACACGGAAATTCTAAATTTCTATGTTTATGAATCCAAACAAGGGAATTGGTGCATATCAATTATAATTCTGATTTTAATTCAAATTTAAGTTTATTTTCATCATCCAAACATAGTGTTAAGTTACAAGGGGCAAAATGAGATTAAAATGAAATTCTAGGAAGCGTAGATAAAAGTGAGAGATAACACTTGTACAGTAGATTCCGTTGATGAAAGAACTCAAGACAAACCTAGTAGCTCTGAAATGACTACGAGGCCAAAATAAGGTGGATTTTCATTCAGGTCCAGCTTGCAGCTTGTTATTAAATTTTACTATTATCCTATGTTGCATCCGGGTTTTTTGTAGTATTAAGTTTAATTTTGTGTCACTTCGTTGTGGGAAGGGGTCGAGAGGAGACCGGTGTTTTTACACTTGGATTTGTTCACTAATTATTTCTAGTGGTGCATATATAGTTGTTAGTTGTAGATGGGGCAGCTGTAAGGTGGAAGAATAAAACTTTAATCATTTGAATGGAGGGAAAACCAAATTTCTGCTAAGTTTTGTCTATATCAACGTCGACGATTATGTAAAATGGAATTTTACTTAGAATCACACAAGAAACACATTTAGTTAACTTATTTATTTATTATAAATGTTCTACATTTTTTTTTACTTTGTAATTTAATGCTGATGTATTATGCCTTCCACAGAAATCGAAGCTGTCCCTGTTCAAAACCAAGCAGCCGCACAAAAGCTTCTTCAAAAAATGAGCCATCAAAACCGGGATGACAGGCATTCAAGAGGCAGATAGTTTAGAGGAAGAGCCAGTGGCGTTCACTTTGGATGTATGGGAAAAGAGCAAGTCGGGGCAAGGCTTCAATTGGAGGTGCCTTTACACGTAGTAGTCGTGACGAGGAACTTGCACGGCAGCTCCAAAATCCAATTTGATTTGGATGATTATCATGTCAGTGTGATAGCATATTCTGATCATTAAAATTGGTATTGTTGTTGTATTGCAAGTTTTCTGCTGTTATTGTACTGCAACTTCAGGTACAAAAGGGTCCTCATGATGTGGATACAGAGAATATTAAAATGAGCATGTTTAGCGACCAAAAAGACGATGACAGGGATTATGACGGGAAAGGAAGAGGAGGAAGGGTACGAGGAAGGGGATGGCGGAAGAGTAGAGGGAGGGGAAGAGGAGGATTTCATTGACTTTGTCATTTTTTTTATTCTCAGCACGCTTTACTTTGTTAGGTAATTTTTGTTCTTGATATGAATATGATGATGGTGAAACCGTAGCTTCCAATCTTAGAATTTTGGTGGTTTAGCCATATTTGCACTGATTCACTTAACAAGAGTTTTTTCTTGTTAGTTTGGCAATAGCCAATAGGTACTCTTTTTGTAAGTCAGATAGATTTGTTACCCCAACAAAGATCTGTCTCTTTTTTTTTTTTTTTTTTTTTTTTTTCAATTGAAATCCTACAAACATATCTATGCTATATTTGATGATTTCATTTTTCTTTTCAAACTGTGTGACTTTTTAAGTCGATGGTGTTTACAGAAAGGCCGCAACATGTAGATGTAGCAAATGCGCTTTGGAAGGGCCAAAGAAACTGAACATGGGCTGGGGTTTGCAATTGGTTTCCTGGTAAGAAATGTGATCATAATTTCATAAAGTGGGAACAGTCGAAGTTGACTTTTTTTAGAATAAGTAGCGGTTGTTGAACTGAGAAATGAAATCGCAGAGCGCATGTATATTTATCCTTCTTAAGTGTAGTTTTTGGATTGAACACAATTTCATGTACAATTCATATTTTTGCTTTTTATTTTTTTAGTTTATTCTGTTAATGATTAAGAAGACATGAATCACATGTATGTAAATGTTGCATATCATGTATACACTTAGAAATGTTTGACATGTTTGACATGTGTTTTAAAACCGCAACATAATATAGTTTAAAAACCGCAGCAACATCGCTAGTAGAAATTAAAATTGTAGAAGAAGCTTATGAACACCTCAGTCAGCGTGGAAGGGAAGTGGAGAAAATTTTTGAGATATTCTATTGAGCCATCCATCGTTTCTGAGTCTTGTAGATGAGCATTTTGATCGTAACGGGAACAGCTCTACATTCTTACAAACAACTTCCGTCTACAGCTTGAAGAATTCTAGTTCATCGACTTCAAAGGTGGTAGAAAGGTAATAGATCTTCTACTAAAATGTAGAGTCAATTTTCTGCTAACATGTCAAGGCAAGTCAAGATTAATGAAAACATAGTACAAACTATATATTGATTGAATACGCGGTGGAAGCAGGGCAAGTATTTAGTGCGAATTAGAGTAGTATTTGTCAAATATTTTGATGATTCTCTTCTATTGATTATTGTAATGTTGAAATGTTTGTAGATGCAATATTTCTCCAAAATTCAAAACAACTACTTATTGAAAAAAATCATAGGAATATAAAGAAGTATGAACTATGGAGCGAAAAATGAAAGCGGTGTTTGATGAACTGACTGCTATATGACTCAGATATGTGATGATGACGATGCATCACCGCCTTGATCATGCTTCATCATAGAACCAATCTGGGTGTGACTTAATCAAGAGAGATGATGCGTCGCTTCAAAAATTCTGCCTTTTCCCATTTCTGTCATCTGTAGTATTTCTCATTTGATTACTGGGATGATGATTATTATCAAATGTGTCATGGCTTGGTCCTCCCTCATCATAGAACCGAGCTGGATGCGAGTCAAAAACATAACCAGCTTTGTCCAAATTATGCATATTTTCCTTCATAGGTTTGTCCCATACTAGATTAACCCCTGTTCTCTTCATTGTCATATAATAATCAGGATGCGAACTTGCAAAGGAGTCTTCAAAAATTATATTAACTTTATCCCCGTCTTGCAAATTGACCTTATCTTTCGATAATTGACCCTGCCAGATATGATAGGATTCAGGTTTGTAGTATATTCTATTTCGTTCTTCTCTGACTATGTTGGCCCGTAATTCAGTACACTTGGTATTATTTATAACAGTAATGGCAAGAGGAGGAGGTAAAAGACTTCTTTCATATGAGTGGTACAAACAGAACAGACTTAGCCCTTCAAAACTACGATCACCACTCGGGGGAATATCAAAACTGACTTTAGTGCCCTCATTGACAAACTCAAACCAATCAGGAACATAATTCCCATGGAGGAAAATGCCACCAAATCCGCAAGAAGTCCATCCCTACGTATACAATGCAAGTATCATAAATACATGTACATGTGTGTTTGTGTGTGCATACGCACAATAGGAAGGTAACGATAACTTAGGGGGAGAGAGAGAGAGAGAGAGAGAGAGAGAGAGAGAGAGAGAGAGAGAGAGGGAGGGAGAGAGAGAGATACCTGCAGGATGTTCTTCCTAAAATCAGTTGTGAGATTGGTGCACCATTGCATATCAATCAATGTCATGGAGTTTAATGAGTTTTCCAAGCCCGGAACCTCAGTGAGTTTGGGTGAATCACTTACTTCCAGTTTTCTCATATTTGACATTTCCGAAAAGTTGGGCATTGTTTCCAATGCAGGGCAATTAAACGCACACAGAAATTTCAAACTTGTTGGTAAGTCAGATATTGTATGAAGATTTGTGCATCCAGTTAAACTCAATGTTTCAAGCTTTGAAAGACCTCTGAGACTGGGTAAGGTATGAAAATAATTCTCTCCAAGATCCAAATATTGTAAAGAAATTAAACTCCCAAGATCCTTAGGGATTTCATCATCAGCTAATTTCACACGTTGTAGGGATAAATGAGTGAGATTCTTCAATCTTAGTATGGAAGGTGGTACTTGTCTTATGGTTGTATGCACTGCTTCAAGTATTCTCAATGAAAACATCTCCCCTAAATCCTCATGTAGTTCTCTGAAATTTGAACAATATCCAAGAAGAAGAGTCTCAACAGATTTCGACTTATAGAATTCCCTTGGAAGAGAAGTAAGCATTCTGCAACATGTAAGATCTACCAAAGAAAGTCTTTTAAGATGACCAATGGAGGGGTGAATCTCGGACAAACTCTCACAACGGACCAATATCAACTCTTCAAGATTTGGGACTTGTGAAAAGTCTGGTAATTTTTTTAAGTAAATGGAATAAGTGAGATTAATGATTTTCAACTTTTGGAGCGACTGTTGCACAAAATCGAAGAAAAAATTGAAATTAATATTCAAAAAAGAATATTCGTTAAAATAAATAGAAATGGAACATCATCATCATCATGATGTGTAATTGATTGTACCTTGGAACCCTCCCAAACTTTTACCAGTTTGCTTGATTGCATGTCTAAAACAACTAGTCTTGGTTGATCAAAAAAGTCATCCGGTATAGACTTTAAAGAGAATCCACGCCAGCACAACCATATTAACTCTTTGGGAAGATGTTTGTATTCTCCCATGAGCTTTACGTAGCTGAGCTTAAGAAATTTTAGTTTCTTCATGTTAGCAAATGCTACTGTACTGAGACAAATAGATTCTGTTAGAGCAAGGCCTTCAACTTCTTCAGTTCCCTGTTTAAAAAAAAAGGAAAAAAAAAGTTAGAGTGGTAAGAAAAGAATTATTTGCATATGTTTACCTGTACGGTAAATATATTTAAATATGAATGTTGTTCAATGTATAATAGACGTACGTGTGTTACATATATTCTTTTCTTGTACGATGCATTAATTCAAAATTTTATTGTGAATGTACTTACAGATTTATTTCTCAATACATCGATGACCTCTCGACGATTCCACAATCTACTCCAATTTCCAGGGTGACCAGGAGATTTTTCAGAAATGATTACTCTAGCCATTTCTCGAAGCAAATCATGCATATTCAACATGTTGCGTTCAATAGTTACAAGGCATCGGTCAAGGAGGATACTGATCCCTATTATTGCAAAATACTCACATCCATCTAATACTTCTGCGACATAGTCCTTGTTCTTTCCAATAAAGAAACAAGATATGTCAAGGAATATAGCCTTCTGTGTATCATCTAGCCCTTCAAAACTTATTCGTAACGGTTTCATTATTTTTCCTTCAGGAGTTCTCTCCAATTTCTCCAATTGACTTTTCCATTCTGCTATGGTTCTTTTAAACAAATATGAACCTAAAACTTTAAGGGCTAGTGGCAAACCTCCACAGTAAGATACAAACTTTTTTGAGAGTTCTAGATATCCTTCTTTAGGCCAACTGTTTCCAAATGCATGCCAACTAAAGAGCTCATGAGCTTCTCCTTCATTCAATTTTTGAGCCGGATATACTTTGTCCACTTGTTTTAGTAAATGTTTATCTCGTGTCGTTATGATAATTCTACTTCCTGGACCAAACCAATTGTGATTTCCAGCTATTGCATCCAATTGTTCCACTTCATCTATGTTGTCTATGATGACAAGTACCCTTCTATGTCGAAATCGTTGTTTAATCAGACTGATACCACTATCAACACTACGAATCATTTGAGACTTGGTCTGTTTCAAGATGTCAGAAACTAGTGTTTCTTGCAAATAAACCAGACCCTGTTTAATTGCAGTGTTGCTAACGTCGGCAAGGAAACTCTTGAATTGGAACATAGGATGAATTTGGTTAAAAATGGCTTTGGCAACTGTTGTTTTACCCAATCCACCCATCCCCCAAATTCCAACCATGACAACATCATTTGATCCACCACTTAAAAGATAAGTGATAACATCTTGAATGCGAGAATCGATTCCAACTTGGTGCTTGGCCACATGTAATTTGTTTGTGCTGGTAAGCCATTCCAGAATATTCTCGTCAACAATTTTTCTAATGAACTCCTCTTCACGCCTGAAAATTGAATTCGTAAGCATTAGTGGGATTCAATGAAGGCTTTGTAGAGATTTTTTTTTTTAATTGTTATCTCCACTAAGCGGGGAGGGGGTGGACTTAGCTTCACAATGGGCTAGCAATAATGCAATTCAAATTCTCATTTGATGAGATCAAAGCTAAGACCTTAATTTACAAGTGAACACAAATATTACTAGTATGTAATATTAAGTGGCATGTAGGAGATATCAGTACATAAACAAATTTCTTTCTTATGTATTTAATGTGGAATCAACTTACACATTCATTTATGTATTTAATGTGTAGTGAATTTTATTTTTCTCTTTCTTAATATGCCCCTAAATTAATGTTCCAGACTTTCACCAAACAACTATTGCCTCTCTTTTTTTTATTAAAATATTGCTTTTTAAACATTTCTAATTTGTTATGGATTTTTTTTGTTTAAATAAATTCTGTTCTAGAGCTCGGGGTCGGGGTAGAGTTGTCTTCCAATTTTTTTTTTTCAAAATTGTCCTTGCCGTTCTTTTTCCAAATGCAATATTCTGTTCCAATTCCCACTAAAAACAATATAGGAGGCCAAAGTTAACCAAGAATTGGTACAGGAAAAGAAAAAAAAAAGGAATTCAAAGGGGGAAAATAAAATGCTATTATAAGATTCTTTTTTATTTGTTTAACTTTGTTTAATTGCATTATTTGTATAACAATTTGCACAATTTTTTTATATGAATTTCACGAAAACGGTATTTCAATTCATCTTTTTTTGTATTGTATAAAAGTCTGAGGCCTAAAAAATATAATTTTTTTTTTGTAAGATATAAATTATAATGCTTGAATATTGATAAATAGTAGGCAGTGACCTTATATATATATATATATTTTTTTTTTTTTGTGGAGATTAAAATTCTCGGAAAATAGCAAAGTAAGAAGAAAATAAAGTCAAAAATAAATTTAAACAAAAAAAAAAGGGGAGAAGGACAACACCAAGAGCTTAAAAACCATATATATATATATATATCCAAAACAAATTAAAAATGCTTAAAAATAAACTTTAATAAAAAGAGTAGTAATAATTGCTTGGTTAAAATCTGAAACATTAATTAGGGGCGTATTTGGAAAGAGAATAATAAAATTCTATGCGCATTAAATACATAGATGTAAGTGTAAGTTGATTCCACATGGCATGAGAATGAGTGAAGGCAAGTGAGAAAACGCAAATGAAGGAGGGAGCTAGCATTCCTCTTAGTTTTATAAGAGAGATTAAGGTGTATTAATTAAGCAAGTTAATGCAAGTGGTCATTTATCATAATGGTAGAAATGTGTTGAGTCATTAAATAACGGCATGAGTTTGAAACCGTCGATGACTAATCTAACAAAATTTATTGTTTGAAAAAATTAAACAAGTTAATAAGAGTAATACAACTCAAAGGTGTCTAAACTTCAGATCTATTTCGATTTTATAAATTCGTATAATTTTTTTTTTCTCTGTTTGTGTGATACTCCCTCGTCTAACAATTGTCCCTAAAATGTTTTATATCTTGAAGAGCAGGTGAATGATTACCCATTATTAGTGATTTGAAGATGGTGGCCAGACAAATTTGCAGCTTCTGTAAGAGCCTTTCTCCACTGCTTTACCCTTTCTTTCTTGGCTTCGCGTTCCTTGTCATCTTTTTCTTTGCGGATGTCCATTTTGTGGTTTTGAAATGCTTGGGCGAAAACTCCGTTCTGCTTCCTGACTTGTGAAGGATCAACATGATAGAATATTGGCAAAACATGTCGCCCCAGTTTGTACCTGCACTCCATGATCTTCACCAGCTCGTCAAGACACCAACTTGAATCCGCATACCTCTTTGAGAACACAATGATGGAGATCCTCGACTCTTCGATTGCCCGGAACAATTCCTCTTTTATTTCTTCCCCTCTTTTTAGATCGTCATCATCCATATAAGCCTGGTACCCCTCGTCTTTCAATGCCGCGTGGAGGTGGCTTGTGAAGCCCTTGCGCGTGTCTTCGCCTCTGAAGCTCAAGAACACGTCGTAATTCCAAAGTTTTGACTTGGAGGATGACGAAGAGGAGGCTATGTCGGCTGTCATGGCGGTATCCACCGCTATGGCACTGCAGTGAGAGCGGGAGAGAGTCCGTGAGGGAGGAGAGAGAGGTCTACGTGGAAAAGAGAGAAAGGGCAGGAAAGAGGAAGAAGGAAAAGGAAAGTGAGAGAGGCTGTGTCGTTGAGCACTTAAAGGGAGTTTCATGGCAATCTTCATATGAGTAATATAAAAAAGGTTAAATTTGTAAATTAAATGATGTATTATTAATAAAATTAATGAGCTTATTCATCAATTTTTAAGTAACAAATCATCAAATCAATTTCTATCTTCTCCGTCCAGACGAGTCATGGGAGGAGTTTAATTATTTTATTTGAGGAAACAGAGCTTGGTTTCAAGTTCAATAAAAATATCGAAATAATCGCTAGACAGAAACATTATTAATACTCAAAGGGTCACTAGACAGAACATCGAAATAATCGCTAGACAGAACATCGCTAGACAGAAACGATGTTCTTACAAATAATTTGTTTGTTAATTGTCTGCATATGACGCGGTTTCGTGTCTACACCGTCGATGCTCAAGAACACTAATTCCAAAAAATTGACTTGGAGGCGGATGAAGAGAGGCTCCTTGGGCTAACTTGGAGGGTAGAAACAATTAATGGCCTGATTTGTTTTTAAATTTGGGGTATATGTATTTACAAAGGTGTGAATTTATTGTGGCCATGAACAATTCCATGGAAGTAACTCCATTTTTTTACTAATTTCCAGAATTTTTTTCAAGGGAATTATTTGTTTGTCATAGCTAACAATGTCACATCATAGTTCGTATAGTAAAATATTGTCCATTTTGGGCCATGTCTTTACAGATTTGTTCTTGGGTTTCCACCCAAAACGCATCTTACTATAAGGAGGTGAGAATGTACATATGAGGCATATCACATCCCCTCCTTCGGGCGATGTGAGATCTTACAAACAGAGTAAATATGGGGTTCTGTACACAACAAAATATGGAAAAAATATATATATAACGGTGAATTGTGTGATGTTTAATTGTGGATTACGTCGTACTGATAAATGTTATTATAAAAATTAATGACTAAATGTGATTCGTTATGAAAGTTTATGAAAACCAAAGACATAAACACTAATTGAAATGGTAAACCAAGTTGCCATTTGTAAATGGTACTAAATGACTGACTTTATTGTCCTATTGTTGTTTATGTGCTTTAATTTTTCATCACCTAAACCGTTTTTTGGAGTTTCTTTTTCGAAAACATGCTCTTTTAGTGAATTGAAGAATATAAATGGTTGGATCGTTGACATCATGTTCCAATTTTTAAGGTTAATGCAAAGATTGCTTGATGTTCGATAAAGTCAGTCATTTAGTACCATTTACAAATGCTAAATAAAATAACTGAAACAAATTCTCAAAATTTAAATCTATGTAATTGATAGATAAAAATATATATAAAATAATAATAATAATAATAATAAATATTGTTTGGTGTTCGATAAAGTCAGTCATATATATATGTGTAAATCATAAAAACAAATTCTCAAAATACATAAATAAAATAATAATAAATATTGCTTGATGTTTGATACAGTCAGTCATTTTGATTTGTGTAATTGATATAAACAAATCTTCAAAATTTAAACTCATCTGATAATAATAAATAAAATAATTAGCCTTATCACCATTTTAGGGAAACAAGCAAAAATGCACCCATACTCAAAACAATGTTCTTACGAATTATTTGTTTGATAATTGTTTGCGTGTGAAGCCCTTGCACATGTATTCATTTCTGAAGCTCAAGAACACATAATTCTAAAGTTTTGACTTGGAGAAGGATGAAGGGGAGGTTTTGTGTTGGAAATTGCGAACTTTATGGTTTGAAAGAAATTGGGCCAAAGTCATAGACCTTGGGCCTCAGTACATTATCGGACTAAGAACAACTAACTTATTCTGATAATGTACTGAACAACAGTGGCATTAGAGTATCCAAGCAACGTCATTAGCTTATCAGATACCCATGTCTTCATATTGCTCTCGCTCTACTGCATTGAACAACACGGTCATTCTCAAAACAACGTCAAAACATTAAATTCGAAAAAAAATCGAAAAATAGAGCATGAAATTTGGTGCCAATTCAATTTAACACTAATTCAAGCTGCCTAAGCTAAAAAGCAATTAAATTTCAATAGAATTATCAAAAATTGAAACAAAAACAATCGCACTGGAACCCTAAGTACTTTTTTTTGTTAGGTATTTTTAATCAATCGAGAGAACACACCTTAGGGCAACAAATAATTTCTGGCGTTTGTTTGCTTGGCTGAGAAAGGGATGGATTTATATAAGAAAGATCTACATGAATCACATGTGCGGTAATAGCAGGCCCATGTGGAAAGTGCGGTTGATTCCGACACCACCGTAAACATGTGGAGCTGCATTGTTCGCCTAGTGTTCAAAACACTGTCACGGTGGCAACAAAAAAAAAATTAGAAGAATGCGGGCTTATGAGAGGTCGGGTTGGGAGGAAAAAAGTGCGAAATTGCAAACCCACGTGATGTATAGAGCGAGCTTTGGGCCTCAATATTATTTACCTCAACTCCACTATGGACCTTGGAGCCCGTTATTATTTAACGATAGCTCCTCATTGAACAATTTCATTCAATTTTTTGTCAAAATTTATCAAACTTAATTTTTATAGATAATGAGTTTGATACTAAATTATAATGACGAAAATGATGAGTTCGGATAACAAAGACGAAAATGATGAGTTCGGATAACAGGGACGAAAATGATAAGTTCAAGATAACAAGGACGAAAATGATGAGTTTGAATAACAAGGACAAAAATGATAAGTTCTGGATAATAGAGACGAAAATGATGAGTTCATAATAATGTAAGAACTATTCGTGATACACATAAATAAGTATGTGATCCAATTTCCTTAATAATAATACATTTTTAGGTTTTTGTCACAATGGTTCTTGAAATTGACTCATCCTATCAAGATGATCCCTGAAATTAAAAATCAATCTGATGAGTAGATTTTATATTATATATTTTACCCTAATCTTAGTATATTTTGGAAGAATTTTGATACTTTGAATTGTATTTTCAATATAGGACTTTCAACTTCCTCTGGAGCAAAACAGGATCATATGAACGAATTTTGGAGTAATTTCAGTTGGAGGACGTTCGTGGGTCACTTAGCTTGATCGTATCAAAATTTTGGATTTTTCCACTAAGCAGTTATTTTCTAGCGATAAAATAAAGGAACGATGTACAGTGCTAGAAAATGTCGTTTTTAGGCTTAAATTGCAGTTTTGGAGCCCAAGATGACATCGGATGAGTTCATGGCCTTCTAAAGAAGTGTTTAGAATATTCCAAACATTAGATCCAGCTTTATTGGGCCAGTTTTGGAGCAGCTTATGGTTTCAAAACATGACTGTTCAGATTTTAGGTGAATTTTACCATTTAATTTAGAGTTATGTTTCCTATTTTATTTTATTATTATTATTAGTTTCTTAGTGGGAATAAAGGACCTGTTTTTAGGGTTTGGTTGGGGGCTTAGCGGATATATTGATTGGCCGTCTACAGTTTTTCTCTACGCTTTATTTTATGCAACTTTGGAGACAGAGAGAATTTATAGGGCTCTTGGAGATTTTTTTACTCTAAGGTGTTTTCAATCCTTTTCTTAGTAATAGTTTCTATGATTTCAATTATGAATATGCGTAACTAATTCCTTTTGCTAGGGCGAAACTTTGAGCCTTAGCATGAATATGTGATTTTTATTTAATTGTTTATAACTGATTGCATGCATACTTTGAATTGTTAATCACCGGGATAAAAACTATCTAATTGTCTTAATGCCTGATCACCATTAGGATCTTTAGAAAAGTAATTTGATGCAATTTTGGTCGGAATGTTCCCTGAAATTGACGCCGGCTTCTTGTGATTAATAATTATAATTTCACTTAAGATGAACACCACGTCTTAAGGATTGAATGATTTTTCAAAGGGTTTTCATAAAGCATAATGAGTCTTTTATGTTCAGATTTGATCCGAACGTTCGGACGGGTTGCAAGTTAGATATACGTTCCATGTTGGAGGTTCCAAGTATAATATAAATTAGGAAAACCTAACATTCAAAGTGGCATGTGTAGATCATAAGTAATTGGTAAAGTTCATAGGATTGCTAGGTGATGGTGGAACCTAATGCTTTTTTAATTTGATTTCTCCCAAAACTGTTTTCTTTTCCCTCTAGTTTTAATATTGCATATTGTCTTATCTTTAATAGTTAAATTCGTTTTTAATTTAAGTAGGTTATAAAATCAATTATCTCAATTTCAACTTTACAATAATTAATTGAAATTTGGTTAGTTTCGAATTATTTAATAATCCATGTGGAGAACGACCTTGCGAGATCCATTTATACTACAACAACCTTGTGATTCTTGCAAGTATAATAAGAGTTTTTAGCTCGTTCACATGAATAGTAAAATCCCTATCACAATCAATGTAGTATCTGAAAATAGGTGTTACAAATCAATATGGTCATTCCGTCACAATTTTGTTAAAATTTCTGTTATGTGCTGATATGACACATAACTGGGTCCTAGAAGTCTAATTAAATATTACCACGTTGATTAAAAATATTTAAATAATAAAAAATAATTTTATTTTTGAATAATTAAAAACTAAAAAATATCGCAAACCACACAGGGAAAATGTAAATTATCAGCAGCTACCAAATGAAACAACTTCATCAAAACTAATCAATTAATTCCACCCACCTCCCCAATATCTCACACCCAATTATCCAACTCCACAACAATCATCCAAAAAATAACCAAATTTTCAATCAACCATCCTAATAAATACAACCAATACACACACAAAGATGTATACATAAACACATATATAGGCGTTGGGAGACAGAGATTGAGAGAGAAATTGCCTTCAATTTGGAGTCGCAGAGGTCAACAATGCCGGTGGATCGCCACCAGGCGTCCCGGCTCGCTTTTGAATCCGCGTTTTTGCTGGTAGCGCAACCCATCTCGTCTCCACCAAATTAATCCACAAATTTCCCAAAAAAAAAAAAATCGAAAAAAAAAATATTTATTTATTTATATACGTATGTATATAAATTCTCTGAATTTTACTCTCTGCGCGGAGAATTACGTATGTTTTCAACGACTTGTTTTTCGTTTTTCTGGGACCGGAAAACCACGTCTCTTTC